TTTGCGTTGTTGTTTATTTTGTTTTGGAGAGGACGGCTTTGAAATGTGCAAAGGTTTACTGAACACACTTATAAAGCCTTTGTTTTACTCATTAAACCTTTTGTCTGGTGGTGCTCATTGACATCGATCGTGGTTTGCTACAGACTCCGTCCACACTACGCCGGAGGAATATAAAAACGGATACAGCTATATTTCTACAGTTATGCCTACGGTCCACAGTAATCCGTCAAGGAGAAGGAGCTTTTCGAAAATGCTCTTCAAACCGGAGGAAGTTGAAGACGCCGGCTTTGAGTTTTCGTGTGGACGGAAAACATTTTACTAAAACGGGCTTTTTCGAACACGATAGGATCAGGAGAACCATGTGATTTCCCTGGCCGAGATTTCCTCCAGCAAAAATAGGAAACCACCGGTGATTGTTGAGTTTTTAAATTCCTCCGGTGTAGGGTGGACAACCCGGCCTAAGCTTCTTGGTATTCAATAGTAAGAGACCCTCTGTGTGGGATTCACATACCCAAAAGGAAATTCATGACATCCAGATCTTGGGTATACAATTTATTACCGAATACCAGGGTATGTGATTCGCATACCTAAAAGGAAATTCATGACATCCAGATCTAAGGTTTACAACGACAAGCTGCTCGTTTTGTTAAACATTTTTATTATCGAATACCAGGGTATGTGACCAGTCTCTTGAATGAGCTAATAATGATGACGCATCTCATTAAATCGGTTCTGCAGCAACTAAGATTACAGAAAATGGATATCGGAGGATGTGCTCTAGTGACGGTTATAAATTATTTCTTCTGTAAACTTTGGAGATCAGTTCCTTTTCCCTTGTCTACTCTCAGAGAGTTCACTCGTATTTTATCGCGCTCCACTATTTTGTATTTTAGTCGGTTTTCAATCCGTTAAAAATGTCTCTTGCAAACTCAACTTCTTGGACACGAAGGATCAACTCAAGTTGTCTGGGGATTTTAAAGATTTGATTTGTCCGGTCAAGACATTACTCGAGTTTACGGAAGATGGTGAAATCTCAGAAGATCCAGCCCATAAAATGTTTTCATTCAAGGTGGGTGATATCATAGTGAAGTGGTATTCTTCAACTAATACCGTCCAAACCCAACGGTCTGGTGACGATATCTTACAAGAAAAACTAGGCAACCTCTTTGCATCGAAGAAACACCTGCTTGCTCTTCAACCGAACTCTGACACTCAGCACTGTCTGCTCGCGACCTCGAACGAGTCAACTGCGGTGGATAGCTCCTTCAACTCCGGGGGG